GGTCAGAATCCTCTTTTTAGGTCCCATGGTGCAGCCCTTGATCATGACGAAGTCATTGTTGACCTCTCCGTAATGGGGGAATCCTCCCATGGGGGTGATGTTCTTCTCTGAGGGATCAAAGTCTGTGGAAGCATTATTTTTCACCAGCTTTCCGTCCTTAGTGTGTGTACCTTCACCCATACGGTAGATCTTTTTGTTGATCTCTGTACGGTGATGGTAACCCTTCTGTCCAGCCCTAGCAACAGTGAACTGAACACGACTTGGATGCCAGGCTCCAATACAGGCAACTTTTCTTAGACCCTTGTGCGTCTTCCTGGGCAACTTCTTTGTGTGCCATCTGGATGTCACACCTGTCAGGTAAATAAAGGAAAACTTTTGTAGTTAAAAATACTTTTAATTTGGTAGTAAATAAATCAGATTTTTTTTTTATCCCTGATCAGGCCAAAATGGAATTACTTTTTTAAGCAATAGTTGTGAAAAAAACATCTCGGCTAGGCAAGTTATGTTATTAAGCAAAATGTGTGCTTGCTTTAGCTCTTTGTTTAATAACAGTAATGTAAACAAGAATGGATTAAAATTTGCATTTAAACATGGCACCAATTTTTTAAAGGTAGGTAGGGCAATGAAAAATGGATTTTTCAAGACATTCTCAAGCATTGTTGTCAGAAGGAAGGCAGCATGGATTGTGTCACCACTGAAAGTCAGCATGCTCTGGCAGGAGCATTACCATGTGTTTCATCATGCATCAATGCAGTTTGATCACTCGAGAGAAAGTTAGTCAAGGAATTCTGGCCCAACAAAATTCACATTTTCTTTCAAAGGCCATGAAATTTAATAAAATCAGTATTCATCTCACCTTTGACTCCTTTACCCTTGGTTACACCAATGATATCAATGTTTTCATCCATGGCAAAGACGGAGCCAACAGGGACAGATGATTCCATCTTCTCCCTAGCCCAGTCCACCTTCTGTGCAATGGTGCCTCCATTCACCTGGATCTCCATGATGTGTGCCTTCTTCTGACGCTTCTTCATCAACTTAGTCTACAAAAAAGTATAGTTTGCATAATGTACGTCAACAAAATAGTTTCCCACGTTTCAAAAGAATCCTTTCAATATTAGTCTTGCTTACATTGCAATATTTTGTTTTTCCAAAAAGGTGCGAGCTTTGAGCTCGTCAGTAATGCAAGAACTAGCATATTAAAATAAATCAACAATTTTACAAATAGAGAGCTACCTTGAACAATCCTTTATTTGTAGTAAGGACTCCCTAGAGCACTTAAATAAATTTGACTTTTAATGTTCCTTGGGATTTGTAAAAAGACTTAGAAAATATTAAACCGAATCCTATAGATGTCTAAATTATTTACCTGTGTGTGGGCAATGACACGGATGACCTTGCAGTACTTCTTCATTTTCTGGAAGTCACGCTCAATCTCCTTCTTTCCACTCTCATCAGTCCATTTTTTGGCGTACTTGGTAAATGCCTTCTTCTTGCAGTTGTACCTTTTTGATTAAGAAGCATGTGGTTAGCCTCGTAGTCGGATGCCGACCAGTGGAGGAAAACCACAACATTAAACATGGACTCGTTAGCCGTGAACCAAGCAAGCCAACTCAGTACTGCTGTCAAAAACCGTGAAAGTTTAGCAAGTACAGAATTAGGCAACAGCAGGACACTGACCAAGAGGAGTACCACAGCTCACCATATAACCATGGTAGGAGCTGGAATGACATCATCATTAGTTCAGGTATAGCACAATTCAACATTTCTTATTACAAAATCATGCAACATAAAATAGTCAATAAAGGAAAGCTAGTCATATTTTGGATCACAAATTTCAGTTTCAGATTATAAATTTCTTCCAAATTGTTTTTGCAATACACGGTTTACATGCAAATGTAGTAGCCTGTATTTCATAAATCTAAATATTGTCTTAATATAATGCACTTTTACAACATTTGAAATCATACCAGTTTTTGTAAAATCGCCTCCTGCAATCCTCATTCAGATGCTCAGCAAACAAAGTCTTGAATGACCTCAGACCACTTGGTGTTTCAATGTAGCCTACCAAACCCACAATAACCATGGGTGGTGTCTCAATGATGGTGACTGCCTCCACGATTTCTTTCTTGTTGGATTCTAAAATACAAAAGGTGGACTTGACAACCTGTTCAGTTATCATATTAATCATTACTACTATTGGAATAATTTCATTTCCGTTTCGGTAAAACAAAATAACAATTTTGGCCACTTTGCACAAGTTTTACAGAACTTTCACCCGTTGAATCGTTATCAAATGCAAGATTAATGAACATTGGCACTCAAAACTGAAATAGTTATTTTGAAAGACAATGATGCATAAAAGATCTTTCAGACAGCATCTTCTAATTATCGATATTGTATGCATTATTTTTCGAACAATTGTATTGCCCAATTCAAAACATACAGCATACTTGAACATGATGGTTAAATTTTCTTGGAAAAACCCTGGGCCAATTGATAGGCTTCGTCATTTTGATCAATGATATCTGGTTTGGGAATAGAGTGCACTACTGTATTGGAGCATTTAATGTTGCAAGGCTTCAGGGTACTATTAACAAACATATTGTACCTTGCATGTACTAATAGACAATTATTCGGACCAAATTTATTTTACTCCTGTTTCAGTCGTCTTTTTAGGGCGGAAGTTTGGACTTTAACAGTGCATATCTAAAATAAAAATAAAAATTTAGGATAGGTAGGGTTAGCGGAAACCCAAGATTTTTTGTTTTGGTCTTGTTAAAACTGCCAATTTAGTTAAAAATTGCATTCCGTTAAATCTGTACATAAAATGATGGAGAAGTATTTCATTTTGATGGAGTAGTGCACTCGGATTCCAGACCAAACACCTGTCTGTCGAAGTGTCTGGTGCTGCGGCCAGATAGAACTAATATTAATACCCGGCCTCCTCTGCCCCGGCCGGGTATTAAATCGATCCCATGCCTTGTAATGGAGCAAGCCCGGTGTGAATCACACCGGGGCGATTTTAGCATTAATTGACAGCACATTGGTCTGCATCCATAAATAAGGTTTTCGTATGAACTATTTCTGTTGATATCCTGCACAACTTGAAGTTTAACTCTGCCTAAAATGTCGTTAAATAATCAAGTAAATGTAGCAAGCGTAATCGAAATCTGAATTGACCGCAGTGTTGGAAAGGTTGTCTCTCTTCCGATATAGGTCCGATGTCCACATATAGGTGTCATGACCTAATGTGGAAATTGTAGTAAACATCAGTAGTAATACTTTATTTGGCCATGCAGGCCATATATAGAAAGGCTAATTGAGATAACGTCACGGATGATCTGTCATGGCGGTCGTCAGAAAGCTACGTTATCGCAGCTACGGCCAGACGACATCCAGGTTATGCTAATTACATTAAGGAGACCTCGTGTCTACATGGTACTTACTCGAACCAGGTCGGTCTACATCACGAACAATGTGGGACATGCCAGCCTTGTAACCGATAAAAGCTGTCAAATGGACAGGCTTGTTCTTATCATCTGTAGGGAAAGCCTTGACTTTGCCCCTATGACGGCTGGCCCTCTTCTTTGGTAGAAAGCCCTTCGACCCATGACGGGGTGCTGAGAATTTCCTGTGTGACTGAAAAAACAAAAAGGGACAATTTAAGTTTTCTATTGGTAATTTTAACAGCTGCATTTTTTCCCCTCATTTCTTCAATTAAAATCCTGCACATCAAAAAGAGTTTGCGAGACTTAATCTACATCATATTGCATATTCTAGGAACATGTGAATTGTCTGTTTGAATGTACAACTCGCAACTTATGCGCAATTCACCAATAGTCAAGGATGACCATCAAGCCCAATGGCTACGAGTCACCAAGAAATCTAGTTCAGAGATCCCCCCCCCCCTTTCTCCAGTTCTGACGGCACTAGTATGGATAAACGTTGAGGCTAGTACCTATGGGTCGCCATGCCAGTGGCTAGTTACCGTAAGTGAGAATGCATCAGTTAACAAGACCAGGACGCGAGATGCGATTGTAAAAGCCTTCACTACTAAACCTGGAGGGGGCCATTGACCCTTCATAACTGAAATTGACCAGTTTTATCATCATTTTGATGTCGCCTAAAAAACTGCTGGAAATGGTCCACTGCTCTCTCAAATTCCAGGATTTTCCCTACTAAACATGTTCAAATTCGACCTTAACCAACCCAGGGGGCTCGGGATTTAGGGCGAATCAACATGTACACTGAAGCTGCAGTCGAAAATAAAGTTATCAGAAAACATATTCCCAAGAGTCAGCTTTTTTTCTGAAGTTCTAATTCAGATTTTTTTTGAATGTTCGTTTCGTATGTATTAAAGGCCCTTTTGGGGGTTTTTCATCATCAAAACCCGCTTGTCTAACACGTGTATAAGTGCGTGTCAAAAGATCATGATGTGCAATATATATATAACCACAATACTGCTATATTTTCCATCTAAGAAGAAAAATCTTTCGGTACATTACACAGTAACTATATAAGTCATTACAATTCATCGTGCAATTTCCAATTTGTTCGATTTAATGACAGATGACGCTAGATTGAATTCACATCAATAGTTCACGTCTTACCATGATGGCCGTCGACTCAAAAAGGAAGAGCTGCCGTATGTCGGTCCGATAGTGCCTGGGATCTGTGACCTTTGACCTGGATCGTATCGTATCGTAAGAGAAACTAATCAACTTGAGAATCTTTTGTTTCACACATTGGTACTTGGGTATCCACCACTTTAGTTTAAAAGAAAAAGCATTACTTGTGTATGTGTTCTTTATATTATAATCTAACCTCAAACCGGTTTTTACGACATACAAATCAGATACTTATTGTACAGCAAATAAACAATAATTTAAAAAACGTTAAAATATGTTATTCAACTTAAGTCCAATTTAGAAATTAATGAAAAACTGTAAACAAAAATGTTAAATATATTTCTGTGCTGGAGACTGATGTCGTAGCCAGTGCCATACAGTCACATTTCCGGTAGGTCACTATCCACAATGTCGGGAAAGGACGACGATTCAACCCTTTCGAGATACACACAGTTTACAAGGACTTTTTTATCTCTACTTTTTGATGCTCCTGCCACTTTGATAAAGGGTAACATAAATTGATGAAGCTCACAAAAACTTAACTAATAGTTAAGGTATCAAATGACATAGGGGTAGGCCTATGTCATGATCGATCAGAACTTTTGAGCCTGCGATTATGGCCAGTTTTAGCAGACTACAGTAATCATTCTAGTCCGTTAAAACTGACTATAATTGAAGGCTTCAAAAATCTGATCAGTCGTCTGTTTATACATAAACATACATCATATGCATGAGTATGTTAGGTCATTGTGCACCGCACAAATGTGCCATTTGGTAACGTTACTAATGGTCGATCAATATTTAAAAATACGGAATGAAAAAATTTGGAATGCTCATTTGAAATAAGGTACATTGTATATATTAATTCCTCATCACAATTATTAAGATGTAAGATAAATTTTGCATGCATTTTAAACAGTAAGTAACCATAAGACCATTGACCAGTGTGTCCAGCACCTGTGGTATTCCCTAGGCAACACGGTGGTGGTATTATGATATATACTGAAAACAACCTCTTAATAAATCACAGAACTGATCTTGAAACTGAAGTCATAGAACTTGTCATCCTAGAAATTAACACTTCTAACAAAAAAATGCTTCTCTGCTGTCTTTATAGCCCTCCTAATACAAAAATAGATTACTGGAATGAACTTGATAACATTTTGGATAATCTTTCTAATACTAATCTTAATATCATTATCACTGGTGACATAAATATTGACTTTATCACAATGAAACCTAATTCACATATAGCAAGATTAATTACTAAATATCACTTAAAAAACTTAATACAATCACCAACACGCATTACAAACACTACTGCTACCTTAATTGATGTATTTATTAGTAATGATGTTAACATTTTTACCTCGACAAATGTACTTTCCCCTCTCTGTAGTGATCACTGCCCCATCCTTGCTAACATTTGTTTTAAGACACTAAAAAATAAACCATTCAAGAAACCTATATATAAGTTCAATGAAGCTAATTGGGATGCTATTAATAATGAACTACTTAGTAATGATTGGGATTCCATAGTTAATAACACTACTAGCATTAATGAACTATGAACTATATTCTACTGTTATAAACAAAATAAACTCTGCTACTTACTCCCATATCCCTCATAAAACAATTACTGTCCATCCTGATGATAAACCTTGGATGACTGGTGAAATTCGGCATAAATTAAGATATAAGAATAGATTACATAAAATAGCTAAAAATAAAAATAGGGAACAAGATTGGGCAAAATTTAGAACTTGTCGCAATTACACTATACAAATTATTCGGCAATCCAAAGAAAATTACTTTAAGAAACTTCAAAATTGTCTTGCCGACAAAACAGTGCATCCAAGAAAATGGTGGCAGATAGCAAAATCTATAGGAAAAATGAATAACACTAGCACTAATTCCTATCCTCTAAAATCTAACAATAAAATATTAATCCATCCACAAGATAAAGCTGAGGCACTAAATAACTTCTTTACTGATACTACTGACACTAACCTACCTGATTTACCTCCCTTATGTCCATTTGAACTTTCTGACATTAACATAACTGAACAAGATATAACTGACCAATTTGACATTTTTAATAAAAACAAACCAGTGGGTCCTGATGGTATTTTACCTATGATTGTAAAGAACATTTCTTCTTCTTTAGTATACCCATTCAAACTATTATTTAATAGAACTTTATCTATTGGAATAATACCTGATGTACTAAAAACGGCTAATGTTACTGCTCTCTATAAAGGTAAAGGAGATATCAGTGATCTCAATAACTATAGACCTATTGCTATTACATCTATTTTTATCAAAATGTTGGCAAAAAATATTTTTAAATATACGTTTAATTATATTTCAAGTCACAATATATGTTATGTGTACATCAGTCAGGATTTCAACCCAAAGACTCCACTACTAATCAACTAGCTGATATCTATAATACTATAAGTGGCAATTTAGACCAAGGTAAAGATTTGCGTTTTGTTTTCTGTGACATAAGTAAAGCATTTGATCGAGTATGGCATTTGGGCCTATTATATAAACTAAAAACATATGGTATTAAAGGTAAATTATATAATTGGTTTAAAGCTTACTTATCTGACAGAAAACAAAGGGTTATCTTTGAAGGTTATAAATCTAGTACCAAACCTATGTCTGCAGGGGTTCCTCAAGGATCTGTCCTTGGTCCCTTCCTCTTTCTTCTTTTTATTAATGATATTACTAATAATGTAACTTCTCATATAAAACTCTTTGCAGATGATACCTCTCTCTATGTAATAGTAAATAATAACAATGACCTTACAACACCTACTAACATACTTAATGATGATCTTGACTCAATCTCTGAATGGTCAAAGCGATGGCAGATCCTATTCAATCCGAATAAGACTGTAGCTATTAACTTCTCTCGTAGACACATTAACAGTCATCCTCAACTGCTATTTAACAATACTCCAATTCCACAACATGAACACCATACTCACTTAGGACTAACATTTAACAGTTAAGGGACATGGTCAGATCACATTTCAAATATTTATAAGAAAGCAAACTCTAAACTAAGTATTCTTAGAATTTTAAAAACTACAGTTGATAGGGATACATTAAAAACATTATATGTCTCTTATATAAGACCGGTGCTAGAATATTCTGATACAGTATGGGATAATTGTACCAAATCGGAATCAGATCTTTTAGAATCAGTTCAACTAGAAGCTATGCGTTTAATTACTGGCCAGGTACATCTCATCACATTCTGTATACTGAAACACAACTTGAAACATTACACACACGAAGACAAAATCATAAACTAACATTAATGTATAAGATTCTTAATAATTACACTCCAACTTATCTCGATAATATCATTCAACCATTTCTAAATGTAAATAATAACTATACCTTCAGAAATAACAGATTCTTTAATATACCACAGACAAGAACTACTACTTATATGAATAGCTTCTTCCCTTCTACAATGGTAAAATGGAATGCACTTGATAGCACTGTACGAGACTCCATCTCAATTTCATCTTTTAAAAAGAAACTTAAAAAAACCTTTGATACATCCGTCTCAGAAACTTTTATTAACTGTGTTCCGAGGAAACTTAACACAATTTTATGTCAGCTAAGAAATTTTAAAAGTGATCTTAACTCTGATACAAGACCATCTGATTGATGATGCTTCCTGTGTATGTGGTGTACAGAGGGAAGATCTAATACATTTTTTCTTTCAATGTCCTCTGTATTCAAATATTAGGCATCATATTACCACTATTTATAATCTATTAGGATATTTAAATCTGCACTGTTTAGTATATGGTATTAGTAATGCATCCGACCAATTAAATAAAACTATTCTTATACATTTTGACTCTTATCTTAAATCATCAAAACGTTTCGTTACTTATACGTGCTAGATAAATTCCAAATGAATATTCATATATATTGTTATTATTATTGTTATTCAGGCAAGTTTTATCCCTTAAATAACGAGTATTAGACATAAGCTGGTGTGGGTGTGGGTGAGCATGAGTGTGAGAGGAAAACGAATCACAACATTTTATATATTTAAGCATTGTACGTAGCTACCGGAATTATAAGAAGACTGATATAGGCAAAGCCTGTTTTCTTATTCTTTTGTCAATACTGTTCTAATATCTTCTTTAATGTTAACTTATATGTTTGTATTATATATGTATTGTCAATAAAATACTTTTGAAATTGAAAATTCCCTAGGCCACCACTTCCCAGGATAGGCCTGGAGGTTGATCTGTCCTGGGAGCTCATCCAAGGACAAGGGTCATAACTACTCCTAGGGTCATAACATACAAATGGTTGTGAGTCTATGAACACAAATCATATGCATGCTATCAGACAGAATTCAATTGAATCTGGGGTTTGGCCCCATCTTGGATAATCTAGTCCCAGGATAACAACATGGAAACTAACAGGAGAGATTCCCTCCCTAAAATCTCCCTGTGTGTGAGAGGTTTTATTCAATTTGAATATTTTAATGAAGCAATTAATGCATAATTTTAAAATTTTATTATGGATTTTTTTTTTATCAAGGTACTGCAGAAAAGTTTCAAGGTGATAGGAAAACTGTTCCCTATTATCACCGAAGGTTCAACAGGGTACCTACCATTGATGAGTGCTATACAGATGATGTAATGTGCCGATTTGAAGCAGATCAACAGTTCAAAAGAGACAAGTAAGAACGTTGAACAAATTGGGCTGCAGTGTGTATACAAAATCACAGATTTATTCACTAAAACAAAATATTTTTACCTTAAGGTTAAGTTACAAGTACAATCCTTATTGCATTGTTGCAAAATGTTTGATAGTTCATTCGTTGTCTGTTTTGTATAAAAAAAAAATCAGTGTGATAAATAATTTGATTGTGAGCCATTTATTATTTATTTTTGCATCATTTGTTTGCTGTTGATAATGTTTACACAGCCTTAGTGCTTATACATGTAATTTTGATATCCACCACAATGACCCTATGCCTGTTTATTTGTGTTAACTCCCAGGCAATCCATTACTATTGGGCATTACCTTTTGTCAAGATTACGTAACATTTGTTAATTTTAAAATGAAAACCCCCCCACTAAAACTTGTTTTCTCTCTCTTTTTTTGAAACCTATTTGTATAAAAGCAAGCTTGACTAACTGTACAGGTACTGTTATACCATCAAGGTTTTAATTTGCTGTGTATGACTTGTTGTAAGTTGTTTTCCCATTTACATTGACAAGTGTATGCAGTGTTTACACTTGTCAGTTAATTTCTCAACAAGACAGTCTTTTACTTAACCTGACATATATGCTTGAGGCAGTTTTTCAAGAACTGATGTTATTGATTATCAATGCATTTGTTTTTTACAGAAAAGTGGACAATGACATATTGTTTATTCTAAGGAAACGGTGGATGCATTGCGTATTTTCTGATTACAGCAACAGAAATACAAAATGTAAAGTAATGAAGGATACATACAATGAGACAAGTGATGAATGGATGCTAAAATGTAAGTATGTACTGTGTGGTATATGACCAGGGTTTGATTCCTTAATCAGACATTAAAAGATAGCAGGTCACCTGTCCAACCAAAAACGTTTACTTGGAGTCCTCTGGTTTCCTCTAACATTAAGATTAAGGATGAAGTTAACAATACACAAATATTTGTTATGGATTTATCTTTCGAAATGCGAAAGTTTAACTGGACAAAATTTCTCTGTATACGGTAATATAAGATGGTATACATGTAACTTGTTTCATAATTAATTATCGGGGTGTAGAGCCAACGCCGTACTTCTAGGTTCGATACCCAGGGGTATGCAGGGCGATTGAGGAACGGGAAATTAAAGGCAATATTCAATCGCAACAAGCTCAGGATAGGTTGGTTTCTTTATTTTGGTTTCTTTATTTGTATCTCCTTACAAATAAGGAAACCAACCTATTCTGAGCTTGTTGTGATTGAATATTGCCTTTTGTTTCATAAATGTTGTAAAATAAATAAAGTTTAAAACTGTTAATTTATTTTAAAAATATAAGGTAGAAAGTCCCACATTGTTTCTCTTATTCAGGCCTTGAAAAGTTCCTTAAAATGTAAGCTATTCCCTCTATATCAACAAAGACAAATTGAGGTTTCGGAATAAGATAAATTGAATTTGTGGACCTGTTTAGGGAATTTCAACATTTTGAAATGATTTCCATGAATGTTGTAGAAAATTATTAACATAAAAATATTACCAGTAGCAGAGTAAATAAAATCCCTGCTTTATAACCAAGATGAGAGAGGTCAAGCTCTTGTGGCAGAGCGGAGATGTGTATGTGGAAAAGGAAAACATTATCAATATACTAGTATTACTTGAAAGTATATAACTCTTTGCTGTAATAAAAGGGCAGGTAACTAAAAGTACAGAAATACCAAACAATTTGGAACTCTCAAGCTAATTTCAATTGCCAATGTGATGTGTGTTGCTGACTATTTACATGCAGGTTTTACAGTACTTATGAGGTTACTTATTCTGAATGGCAAGTTTTTTAGCCCACCGTCATCTGATGGTGGGCTATTCAAATCACCCTGCGTCCGTGGTCCCTCCGTAAACAATTCTTGTTATTGATATTTCTCAAGAAGTACCCAAGGGACCTTACTCATATTTTATATGTAGGTTCCCCTTGTTCCCTTGTTGTGCAGCAGTGTCTGAAATGGACGGTCGCCTGCTCGCCAATGGCGTTTAAAATCCTGCTTGAGCGACCAAAAGTTGTCCAATGCAGATTCCCCACTCTCCTTAATTATTCATGTTAACTTTTGAAACTGATCAGTTAAACAAAATGGCCTACCAACAGCCATCTTTGATTTTTGACATTGAAGGTTTGTTAGTACTATTTCTCAAGAATAACTTGAGGGATTTTTCTCAAATTTGATATGTAGGTTCCCCTTGATCCCTCGTTGTACATGTTGTATTTTGAGACTGATCATAAAAACGAAATGTCTAAAGGAAATACTAAACAGATCTTTCTCATATTGCAATGATCGATTCTATTTCTTTCACATTTAGTACTGTACTAATAAATATGTGAAATGACAAACTCACTTTAAATGTTGGCTTTCATACACATCAGTATTAAGTTTAGATCAAAAGTTACCCCAAGGTGCATTTACTGTTAACATGACTCGATCAAACAGATTTGAGGAAAGAAGAGAAAAGATCAAACTGACAAAGAACTAATGAAGATGGTACAATGGTGGGCGCCAAGACTCCTCTGGGATCTCTTGTTACAATAACTACCTTTAGATTTAAGAATTGTTTGATTTCAACCAAATTTGGTCTCAAGTAAGTTTGATTTCCAATTGATGAATGGATATTTATGCCTAATTTGTGAAGTGTCCCTTTATTGAAATAAGCTGAAATCTTACGACAAAGATTCTGAAGGTATAGAAAAATTCAATCTCACAACAAAGATCCTTTATGTGTAGAGTAATGATTTTTAAGTCTATTTAAATCAATTTGAATTAACCAACTTTGAAGGTGAAAATGTGAGATGAGTAAATAGTCAGCAACACAACCACATTGGACCTCTTGTTATTATACCATAACAAGAAATGTTTATATATTGGTTATTAGTTGTTGCTATCATAAAGATATGATAAGGATGATGCAAGATACAACTAATATGAACAAGTAAATTGATAATTTCTCTATCACTTTAAACAAATTGACACTCACCTGTGGACCTGTGTATTTTGTTGTCAGTCGGACACTTACCTGTGTATTTTGTTGACAGATGGACACTAACCTGTGTATTTTGTTGACAGTTGGACACTAACCTGTGTATTTTGTTGACAGTTGGACACTTACCTGTGTATTTTGTTGACAGATGGATACTTACCTGTGTATTTTGTTGACAGATGGACACTTACCTGTGTACTATGATGTAGTGAATGCTTTCATGAAACAAAAGCATCGTATGGTACATGAGAGAAGGATGAGGGAGAAAGGTGCTGCTGAAGCTGAGATGGTTGATGGAGGAGGAGAGATGATGTAGACTCAGGACAACAGTGTGTAGAATAAGCTAGGATCTGACATTACACTTAAAGACACCTTCATCAGAAGAGATATGACATGTCACATGTCATAAAATAACATGTTAAAAGTGACAGTTTGAGGATTGGACAATGCTTGCTATAAAGAAAGTCAGGTTGTGACCTAGATGTTTTTACCATTCAAAATGTCTAATGTTGGTATGTGTATTGTTCTATCAGAAAGCATGTAGTGGGTCTGTTTTCCACTGAAAATCATAATTATGACCCTTTACAAGGAAAAGTTAAAGGAGGTTTATTCTTTAAAGACAATTAAGGCACCAACTGACCTCACTTATGTAAACCATGTTTGTTACTACATTGTACAGTTATTTCTATTTTATGAATGAGGAAATAAACGGTTTGGCAAGTGTGAAAAATGACTTTCTGTTCCTGTGACATTTTAACTCATTCACCCCTGAAATTTCATAATGAACTATTCCGACCTTTGAAATGGAGGAAGTCAAATGCGTCTTTAGGGGTGAATGAGTTAATTGTGTGAAATGATATGTACATATCTCAGGAAAGAGAAGCAAATTGTTATCTCTATCTATAGAGAGGTGCTGATGATTGGTGAGGTGTTCAGGACAACATCTATGTATAGAGAGGTGCTGATGATTAGTCAGGTGTTCTATTGACACAGGTTGAGTGATACATGTATCAGGCGTCATGTCTTTGATCACGTTATAAGGCCTCGTGTAATATACATGGATACAGTCACTTTTATTCAGCAATTATCATATTTTGTTGGTTTCCAAAAAGGGCATAAAAAAGCTAAAACATTTTTATCATAATTTAGTGGTTTCCAAATAACACAAAAATAACTAAAATATGATAACATGTACTAGTAAAATAAGAACCCTTGTTATTAAAGTATATGTATGTAATAAATCAGAATAGGTCCTCTACATCAGCATTCCTTGTCCACGCTGCTCTCAGCTTAATTGCTGCCTTCGGCTGTCTTTAGCCGAGGGGACTATCTGTTTTATATAATAGCTATATTTTCAATTATAGTATATCAGTTCTATCTTCTTGTAATATGATGTATATGTACATGTAACTGTTCTGTTTCACTGTGTCTTGAAAAAGGAGGGGATCGCTCCGAAAATTTGACAACCTAAACTTGTCCACACTGTTGGAATTACTTCTTTGCCCCATATGTAATAAATCAAATATATTTCCATTTGTACTGGCCCATTTTGGATAGGTTGTTAAATTACTACTCCCTATTTCAATGTCTTTGTGTATATGTACATCATGTACATGTATGACGAAGAGAAAACAAAAATGAAATGTGTGGTGTTGTTATACATGCAAACAGATGTATGAAATTGGGAGATATCTATTTTTTCAGGAAAACATGAAATAGGTTTTTGTTCAGAAGTTCAAACCTTGTTATTCTGCCACATTTGTTCAACAAAATGTTGGTGTCATAAACAGGTTTGGTGATACATTTAGGGAGATGTATAAAGGAAATGTTAAGAAAATAGGAAAACAGGACCTCACAATGTGTTAGCTATATCAATCAAGTGACAAGTAAAATGAGTGTTGAATTCAGACATTTATCTCTTGCCAACATGTTGTTCTCTAGGTCGCATTACCATCCCCTTGTATAGGAGTGTAGAGATACAGTACAGTAGGTTTAGGCTACTTCTACCTTCCAAGGCAGTTAAATAGGAAGTTACTTTATTAGATAATACATATAAATATATGGGAAATAGGGCTAATAAACTTGGAAACCACAGTACAGGAGTTATCTCCCCTACCATAGATAACACATAATCAAAGCTGAAGTTTAAAAATTACTGAACTGGCTTGCTTTCATTAATATTTTGCAGCTGGAATAAGATGATCTAACCAACATGCCACAAAAGTAAAATGATGATTTAAAAGTTAACTTTGTATCTTTCTTTGGTGCAATCTTGATCATTTGATATTTATTCACAAAGCATGAAGCATAATTCAAATGTTGACAAAAATATGCTACTGTGCTTATGTTTAAATAGGGAAAAGCTAAAAATGTTCTGTGTAAAATGTCAACGATTACAATTACTTAAAGAGGAAAACTGAAGATATGTTTAAAGGTGGACAATGTTTAGTTTGCCATTTGCTTGCAGAATAACTTGGAGATAAGCACTAAACATTGGCTATCCTAGATAAAAACCAGTATACCCACCGACTGGTTCACTTCTGATCGTAAAACTTGCTGTGCTGCTTTGGATGACAGCTAGAAATATAAACTGATTATACATATAACATAGTGGGGTTGTAAAATAATGGTTGTATGTCCCCTTGAACACAAATGTATTGTGTGAGGTGGTTGCTATCTAGTTTCCTTGATCACAATGTATTGTGTGAGTTGGTTGCTATCTGGTTCCCTTGATCACAATGTATTGTGTGAGGTGGTTGCTATCTGGTTCCCTTGAACATAATGTATTGTGTGAAATGGTTGCTATCTAGTCCCCTTGAACACAATGTATTGTGTGAAGTGGTTGCTTTTTGGTTCCCTTGATCAAAATGTATTGTGTTAGGTGGTTGCTATCCACCCCCCTTAAAAACAATGTATTATGAAGTTGCTATCTGGTTCCCTTGAACACAATGTATTGTGTGAAATGGTAGCTATCTAGTCCCCTTGAACGCAATGTTTTGTGTGAAGTGGAAGCTTTCTGGTCCCAAAGAACACAATGTATTGTATGAGGTGGTTGCTATCCAGCCCTCTTGAACACAATGTATGGTGTGAAATGGTAGCTATCTAGTCCCCTTGAACACAATGTTTTGTGTGAAGTGGAAGCTTGCTGGTCCCAAACAACACAATGTATTGTATGAGGTGGTTGCTATCCAGCCCCATTGGACACAATGTATTGTGTGAGGTGGTTACTATCAGGTCCCCTTGAACACAATGTATTGTGTGAAGTGGTTGCTATCCAGCCTCTTGAACACAATGTATTGTGTGAGGTGGTTGTTATCCAGCCCCCTAGATCACAATGTATTGTGTGAAGTGGTTGCTATTCAGCCCCTTGAACACAATGTATTGTGTGAGGTGGTTGCTATCCAGCCTCTTGAACACAATGTATTGTGTGAGGTGGTTGCTATCCAGCCCTCTTAAACACAATGTATTGTGTGAGGTGGTTGCTATCAAGTCCCCTTGAACACAATGTATTGTGTGAGATGGATGCTATCCAGCCCCTTGAACACAATGTATTGTGTGAGGTGGTTGCTATCCAGCCCTCTTGAACACAATGTATTGTGTGAGGTGGTTGCTATCCAGCCCTCTTGGACACAATGTATTGTGTGAGGTGGTTGCTATGTGGTTCCTTTGAACACAATGTATTGTGTGAGGTGGTTACTATCAGGTCCCCTTGAACACAATGTATTGTGTGATATAGTTGCTATCTGGTTCCCTTGAACAAAATGTATTATGTGAGGTGGTTATTATCCAGCCCCCTAGATCACAATGTATTGTGTGAGGTGGTTGTGATACAGCCTCCATTGAACACAATGTATTGTGTGAAGTGGTTGCTATTCAGCCCCTTGAACACAATGTATTGTATGAGGTGGTTGTTACCTGGTTCCCTGGATCACAATATATTGTGTGAGGTGGTTGCTATCTGGTTCCCTTGATCACAATGTATTGTGTGAGCTGGCTGATATCTGGTCCCCTTGAACACAATGTATTGTGTGAGATGGTTGCTATGTGGTTCCTTTGAACATAATGTATTGTGTGAGCTGGCTGATATCTGGTCCCCTTGAACACAATGTATTGTGTGAGGTGGTTGCTATCCAGACCACTTGATCACAATGTATTGTGTTAAGTGGTTGCTATCCAGCCCCTTTAACACACTGTATTGTGTGAGGTGGTTGCTATCCAGCCCTCTTGAACACAATGTATTGTGTGCAGTGGTTGCTATGTGGTTCCTTTGAACACACTGTATTGTGTGAGGTGGTTGCTATCTGGTTCCCTGGATCACAATCGATTTCGTGAGGTGGTCACTATCAGGTCACCTTGAACACAATGTATTGTGTGAAGTGGTTGCTATCCAGCCCCTTGAATACAATGTATTGTGATGCGGTTGCTATCTGATCCCCTTGAACACAATGTATTGTGTGATGCGGTTGCTATCTGATCCCCTAGAAAACAATGTATTATGTGAGGAGACATGTATGACAACCCCTTGAACACAATTTGTTGGAGGCGGTTGCTATTTGGTCCCTGATCACAATACGTTATGTGATGAGTTCCCTTGTACACAAAGATGACTGAGAATGGTTGTTATGTAGGACACGTATGACATGCATCGCTTCCCAATGTCCTTCGGAAGAACAACAACTCGACGTCCTGTAATATTTGATGAAGCATTACGTGATAATGGGCAAGATGACATTTCTATGGGAAAACAGTGTGAGGAGGCCTGTCGACGCAAAAAGTCAAGTTTGTTAGACTAGCTGTATTTGCGGCAGTGGGTGTCGATACAGAAAAGATGGTGCAGATTTGATGCAAAGTCCACATGGAGGAGCATCTGTCCAGAATTAGGATTAATGAACGATCCGGGATATAGACGTCTAAAACTATGAATGAGGATTAAGGGAAAAACTGGAAATCGATAACGGTATCGGAGCGAAGAAATCAAAAATTCATAAAATGTCAAAGACCAATGCAAAGTCATTGCTTGGTTAAGATGGAGGATGCCAAAAACCAAGCTAGAAACGATCCGGAAATAGTAAGGCTGTGATTTCATCACAGCTGACAAACTGAGGATTCTATGATAGGGTTTAGTCACGTACATGTGATCGCAATCCACGTATGTGTCAATAAAGGTAAGGAAATACAGTATTTTACAATAATTCTTCGTTAATCTAATTGATAAGTGCTCGTACGTTAGAATTGCACAATTATCATGATTGTTCGGAGTGTATAAGTTGCGATCTTGTGGACAAACAAGAAGATCCAAAGATATTGGGACATCGTCATGAGAGCTAATTAAGGCAGGAAAACGGGCAACACTATTTTATCAAATACTTTTCTTTCCTCATTTCTAATTTATTCCTAACGCCATTTAAAGGTTATTCCCGATTTGTTAATGAATAAATAACAAAATCAGAATGAATGAAAGTGTACATATATTGAACAATAACTGGCATTTCGTATTTGAAGAAATAGCTTACAAAGGAGCTGATCATCTTTTCAAAAAAAATCACAATTAAATGCCAAGGAAAAAATACCAATTATAAGATGTTTACTACTTACTTCATGTTTACTCATGAATGTATAGAGGTAAATATGCAATCAAATCTGTATGGTACGATCATTGTTCTCATTTTGGAAAGAAACGTGTATTAATCTTGTGGGACTTGATTGTAAGCCAACTGTAAATAGTAATGGATT